GGCTGGTATTGCTAGTGAAGGCATGATAGCAGAGATTTCCGAAGAACATTTCCCGTGGAAGTATCGATAGAAAAGTGAAAGGTCGCCGACCTTTCTATAGTACATTTGACAGCCCTCTGGTACCACTCACTCACCTTTCATTTTCAAATAACACGTTGTCATTGGTGTTTTGTTAATTGATATAACATCAAAAAAATCAACATTTTGTGACTTATTTCACGTTACTCAAATGAAAAATAGCCTCTACTCATGTTTTCAAAATACTCCACAGATTATAAGTATGGATTGATTTTTGTTTCAAAGAACCGATGCTTTATATTTGTCAAATAATTGATTTCGAAGTGTAGAACATCAATCAGTAGCAGACGGTACCTAGTGTGATAATTTATCTATACTTATATTCTGTAAAGTTTTCACAAAAATTGGGCGTAGGCAATTACAAAGTCTGTGCTATCGTTGTATTCTGAAATAGAATGACCACCAATTCTCAATGCTAATATAAGGGAGAGCCATTGAATAAAAATTAAGGGGAAGCTACCAGAGGGCTGCTTTGATTTTTTTCTATTTTTCAATAAGTGAAATATTGCCTGAACGATAACTTGGGATACACGGTATTGAGAGATTATTTCAAATTCTGAAGTAAATCAATGATATTTGTCTATTGAAAAGGAACATTTTCAGATATATTTATGAACACAAAAAAATGGATGTATATATAACGAAATACATTGAGAATTCGCATCCTCCATGTGATGAAAATATCAATTCTTTCACGGTTTATTCAACAGAAAACAACTACTTCCCTGTTGAATAAACCCTGAAAGATTTGATATTTTCATCACATGGAGAATGCGAATTCTCAATGTATTCGTTTATATACATAATATATACATTTATTTATATCCATTTGTTTGTGTTCATAAATATATCTGAGAATGTTTCTTCTCAATACTTTCACCCAATCAAGGGGTTCAAAGTTGAACGATGGAAACTTGTTATTTTTATAGACCTCAATCGCAGATTCGTGATTAGGTTTTTCTCAATTCAGAATTTCTTTCCACGTCCTGTATGAGAATCAAATATCTACTTCAAATTCGTGGGTTATATCGGACGAACTTTTTCTTAACGGATACCAGGCCAACTTCTGAAAGATGTTTTTAGGTAAAACTGTTTACTTGATTGATTTCCTGCTATAGAATGCATTAAGTAATTAGATTCGATTCCGTATAACACAAAAAATACAGGCATATAATTGGAAACCCCTTTCGATATTGCCCTCGTTCACGGTACTATAGCCTTTGGCAGTTTGTCATACACTTATTATAACAGAGTACATACAAAGTTAATCTATATTGTTTCAATTGAAACTCGATACATTGATCCGAAAATTTGGTGATTTTATCTCTGGCGCTGAAACAAATTGAACTTCAGCGCAAACAAAATATAGATGGCGCTAGTTAGACTTCGTCGACAGGTGACTACCGATAACCAATGACTCCCAAGAATTGAACACCATAGAATATCAGTGGCTATCTAGTGGCGATTGATGCAAATATCGCTCCTGAAGTCCTCATCATCAGGCGATGTGTACGGATTTTTTAACAACTCATAGTTGCGAGTACTTGAAGAGATCGCGATTAGCATTTGATCCGAATTTCTCGCTATATTTTCGAAAATCTCAAACAGCTCGTAGTCGCGAGCACTTCAATACCTCGCAAGGGGCGATAAATGCGAATATCCCAAAGTGCTCGCCTGAGAGCATTATATGAGAATTTCTGCGTGGGATATCTTCAAGACCTCGCTGAGCTCATCCTAGGCGGCGGACATTTGCAGGAGATATAGCGCTCTCGGCGATCTCTCAAGGAAGTTACGAAAAGCATCACAATTTCTTCGGAGGATATCTTCGAGATATCTTTAGAACCCCTATGTGCTGCCACTGCTGCCTGTCCTATCACATGCGTAAAGTGACTTTTCCGTACTTGTAGGTAAACCATTTTGATGTTTGACTCTCTCTTAACATTTGAATCAGAAAAAAAAAATTTAGTATGTATCCCCGAATCTGAAATTAATGATCGATTTATTTTAAAATACAAGATTGGTATTGCTTACGGCATCTTTCGATAAACCGGAGGTGATGTAATACATGTATTTGCAGAAAATGAAAGATGTGGTGTACCTACTTGTAACCAACAAAATCCATACATTTTACCTTGAATAATTCGGAATAGACAGTAGTGTCCGGTCTTTCTGGAATTCTGTGTGCACGAATGATTTATTTACGTCTAACAAGAACAGAGGATCACACACCAGGGACAATAAAAATATGCAAGTTGCACTTTGTGAGGCATCGGTATGCATTCTGTACAATTCTGTTCCGTACTTTGTCACATTGGTCTTTCTATAGGATCATTCCGGTAGAGTAGATAGATATGATCCACATAGTATTCGTGGGGGCTCAATAAGATGGAGTACTAATTTTTTCATGTTACTTTTTGGAGGTGGAATATATTTTGTTCTTCTTATGAATTATAATCTCCAATACAAATGAACCAAACCCACGTTTTCTTTGAATGTTCTTTGATCCTTCAGATTTATATTTGTGATTGCTTGATAGAAGCTCGGAGTTGAGTATGCCTGTCCTGGTAACGTTTGAGATAACTTTTGAGTGCTCGCAGTAAGAAATGCTTGCTCATAGTACTTTTGGGATATTATAGGCAATTTGCTGCTGTAAGAAAACATATGTTATATCACTATAGAGTATCCTTTGGAAGGGCTGAGTGAAAATAGTAGATTGTTTCATTAGGATCAAAAGTGACACATTGTTCGTCATGCGAATTTTGCTTTTGCGAGGCGAAGAAATTATCGAAGCCGAGTCAAAGTCACTTTTGATCCAAATGATGAAATGAAACATGCTATTTTTTTCTGCAACCGCGAATGAATCAACTGTAATAAATATGTGAAGAAACCACCAATGTGACTCACTTCACAGATTATTATAATACCTTTATTATTATAATATGACTGAGTAGATATAGAAGAAAGACCTCAGACTACTTTACTCTGTTATAATTTGTGTTGACCTGCATTATGTCATCACATACTACAGGCACGAATTCAATACTATACCCAAAACGTGGATACAATGCCATATGTATGCAATGCAACAAATAATACGTGTGGGAGAATATTCTACCTATATTTACAAATCAGGTTCGGGTATCAGCCAGGGTTGGGATTTCGTTATTATCAGTTTGTACTGAATCTTGGTAGCAAAATGTAATAGAATGTAATAGATTTGAATCAATGCGCGGAAAATTTGAATTTACTTATTAATGTTTGGAGATTCGCTGGTTACAATATATACTACCTATTAGGATTTTGAACTGTCCAGGCAAAATGAAGAAAAAATGAAATACAACACAGACTCAGTTCCACAATAAATAGAAACTGAAAATAGAATAGGAACTACCTAAACAATCTAAAAAAATAAACTCATTATCAAAAAATGTTTAGCTTCTATATGACAAGATGAATATTCTTTTTTTAACTAATAAAATTGTGTTTCTAGTAAGTAAAACTTTTTGGGTTCAATAAGGAAAAAAAATATACCTACATAAATAATAGCCGAGCAAAAAATGTGAATAAAAAAATCTCAAATCTTCTTGATCTCCAAAAACAGAATAAGTTTCAGAATAAACATATTTTAGTTGTTCATTTCTTCATTCCTTGCTTTGAGTCGTTACTGAATGAAATCGGTATTATTAAATTATTAGGCGAGTTATTAGCTCTAGGTTTTTAGGTTCGGAATTGAAAAAATCCTGCATAACAAAATTGACAAATCTATTATAAGAACAAATAAACTCAGTAACAGAACACAAAACACAAGTTTGAAAGAAATGACCTCACTAACGTTGCCGTTTTTTCCAGACGTTGTGCTCAAACTTGAATTATTACCTCATCCAGTCAAAGTGTAATAGATATTGGCTGTTTCCATCAATGTAGTAATAGCGTAATAACTGAGACGCGATTGTAATAGAAATATTACAATTGTAACAACAATCCCAACCCTGGTATCAGCCCTAATAGCATGCAAATACCGCGCCAGGGCTAGGTATAGGAAGAAGACGTGGAAAATTTTAGGTTAGTGAGTATATCAACAATAATTATAGCGATTATTCATTTCTCTTCATATCCCACTGTGGCTCGGTAATCAAATGAAGGTAAACAATCAAAACAGAGTTATTCATCCCGAGAATAACGAATGAAATACAGATCAAGCGAGTACGTGAACCTTGAAGGCTTTCCAGATCTGAACCAAAATACCTGAATACGAAAATGGTGTATTTATATCTCCAGCATAGGTATAAAATGCCAAATCAACTGAAATCGGAAACAAATCAGGTATGCATCCCAACTCAAATAACCAACCGTAACAAGGTTGTTTATTCTTGATGACCTAGTACATCTTTTTTAGTTGCTGGGTGCCAAAATTCAATTGTATAGCTCAAAGTGTTGCCTAGCAACATACCTAAGTTTGTGTCCGTAATAAAAACGTCAATTCAAGATCTGATTTTAGTATTGAAATGGACGACTTTTGTTCCGGTTGCAGAAAAATGATTATGGATATTATGGTAAAGATAAATTTAAGAACTGGGAGGTCTTCGCGATTTGTTTCGGACGACTCGATCCATACAGAATTCATTATGGTTACATCTATATTTTTTCTCATCGCTTAGAGTGCACGAAATGTGATCCCGATAATGTTCGAAGATTATTCTATGCATACCTAGGGAGGATATATATATAAGAGTCAGAAAATCTTCCTTTCAGTAAACAGTTCAATGCTTAAGACAAACGTTGAAAAGCATCAAGAATACGTCGATTTCGCAGGTTATATGATATTGAAATTGGAAAACAGGAAGGAATGTGGTTGTTTTTAGCTAAATTGTTTTGGCATACAAACGACATTCAGAGATATCGAAATGCTGGGATGATAGAAATAACTATTCAATAAAATCGTTTATTTGGAAATGGAACTATACAATTTTGCATAAATCAGGTGAACAGTGATGAAGAGATGTGATAATTATTGTGAAAAATAAATAATGTTATCGGTGCAGAGTAAATTCGACAATGTGTTATAGTCTGCGGAAAACTTCCCTCGAGAATGGAATTTCATTTCCAGGGTACTGATTCCAATTTCCATTTTTGGGTCTTTCGGCCATCACAATCAGTTATAATGAGTCCTTCTGTGAATTCCTTGGAATCGCTCACATCGAGGCATTTGTGATTGGTAACATGACGCAATTCCATTGTCTATAAAAAAGAATCGGTTACGCATATTCTGGATTGATGTAGCCATTTACAGAAGCTGTTCCCAATTTGGAGTGATAAATAAAATATGGTATTATAATAGGCTTGTTCGTTTGTCCTTGCTCTACCTGCTGAACTTGATTTTTTTCTATGACTTTCTTTGTTTACATCATGCCATGAACAGAGACAACTATGGGAAAAGAATCAGCTTTAGCAAGTTTAGCAATACAAACGAACAGGCCTTATATGAGATATAATCACGATGAATCAGAATGTCTAATCCATAAACCTCATCTGTCAACTATCAAAAAAGAATGTCTGGGCAGTTTCTGAACTTGTACTGGTACTGGCACTAGTAGAAATGGAAAACGTTCGAAAATCCACAATCGGGCCAGACTGGGCTCTTTTTGCACGATTCAAAGATGAATTACTGATATTTCCACGTTGCGAGACTCATTGATACTTATGGTGTTTACGATTCCGCTGAAAGCAGAAGCGTACACAGAGAGAAATTGGTGTAAGCTGTTTACACATTTGTGTAGATTTTTTACACAGTTTGTTTCTAAAATGGTGACAGCACCAATTTGTGTATATTTCGCGCAAAATTTTGTGTGGGAGATTTTGTGTATAACCAAACAATTTAGTTTTGTAATTTTCAAAACGATTTTGTTCAAAAACCAAACAAAATTTGTGTACTTTCGTGACACCAAATATATAAAATCATACAATATTTTGTTCGACAAATATCACCAATTTGTGTGATATGTGTGCACAAACTGTGTAAGTGGGTGAAATTGTGGAAATGTTCACAATTCAATATACTGAAAATAACACAAATTTCGTAACGATACAAAAGTATGTGTACTTCCGTAGACTGTAGAATCTCCTCATTTATTAATGTCTGGCGAGTTGGTAAATGATTGATGATTTTACTCAATGATCATAGGTAGTCCTTTCGCGAAATTATTTCATGTTTACTAGTGGCAAAAAGTGAAAGATGTAATAAGATGTATCAACAAAGTGTCGATTCTTTGTTGGGAACTACCTGAACTAGTATCAACATTCGCCATTAAGTTATTTCAATTGAACCTAATGATTAGCTATTAGCTTCGACTTGCTTTCAATGGGTGTTGAAATTGAAAGCAAGTCGAAGCTAATTATTATTATAGGTATTATTGAAATAATAACTTACCGGCGAATGTACATACCAGAGTTCAAGCAGTTTCCAACAAAGCAGAATGTCTTCGACACTTTGTTGATACATCTTATTAAATCTTTCACTTTGTGGCACTAGTAAACATGAAATTATTTTGCGGAAGGACTAGACCTATGGTCATTAAGTGCAATCATCAATCATTCACCAACTCGCCTGACAATAATAAATGAGAAGATTCTACATTCTGCACCATACACACTTGTAACCTTCTTGCAACACATCTACAGGTCATGTGCGAATTCAGAATATTGAGATTGAGATATAAGTAGGTAGAAGGAGAAGGGAATAGGACGCCGTTACCAAGTGAAAGAAAATTGCACACCTGTGTCAAAATATTACACAAATAGTAACATTATTTCAAAGGAGGTGTAGTTGTAGTTAGTCAATACAATTTTGTACATTGGATGATGTGCATATTTTTGTGTGATTTTCCGCTATTTGGATAATATGTACAAATTGAGGACCGCGTGCACAAATAGTGTAATTATTTCAAAAGCGGTGTATTTAGTCAATACAATTGTGTGCATTGGATGATGTGCATATTTTTGTGTAGTTTTCCGCTACATGGATGTGTACAAATATTTCACAAATTGATATAACGACTGTAGTGATTATTCGAACAAATGTTGAATAATACTTCACAAACATCTTTTTCACAATGTTGTGCATAGATATGCAATCACCTTTTCTCCCTGTGTAGGTTTACTATGAACACTAATTATGTAAATATCAATGTACTAGTGCGAAGTAAACCTCCTCACTTTAGACTACATTCATCGCCCCAATTTTGAATATAACTTCTGTAAGAGAATCAAAGATGTACGTATTATTTGTTCACATTTTGTGCGAATAACTTGCTACTCAGCAAGGTGTTGTATACAAGAATTTATGTGCTTTCATGAAAAAGTATTAGGAGAGTTAAAACAACTGATTGATCTACTGCACAGTATTCACTACCATATAACACTAATAGTCGGAAAAAAGACGATACTCGATACTACACAGGGTGATTCAAAATTCAACGATGACTAGTATATGAAATCAACATGTGTCTCAAAATGCACCTCCTCCAAACTACAGCCACTGTAAGTTACGTTTGGAAAAAAATCGATCTAAAATTGTGACTATAATAAGGGATTGAATTTTTCGAAAATTTGCATGCCCCTGTTTTCAAGGCACTCTATTTCTCATTTGCTTCAAAAATTATGTATACCCAACTTTAGGGAAGTCCACAATTTTATTAGCCCAAAATCAAAGTCAAGAAAAAACACGAATTCGAAAAGCAGAAACCTGTTGGCCATGAGAAAATTTGAGAATTTGGTCCTTATTACTTTTTTTAAACAAATAACTATTTGCCAGAAAATTTAATGAATAAAAGGAAGTTATTTTCACAATATCAGTGTTCTTGTTTATGTTGATTTCATCTGAAGATCCTTGAGTAATCTAGGAAACGGATCAATATGTAATGTGATATAATAAATAGTATAGAAAAGTCATACAGTTCATTGTAATATCATACAAGCAATATAGAGTGATTTATGAGAAAACTCGCATAGCCGAATGGTGAATAGGGAAAATCAGGAAGTTTTTTTTCTTTCAGGGTATTCCGTGATATCGCTATATAACTTCGATGGTCGATAATTCAGAAATAATTAATCGTAAGTAGCTGAAACTTGGCGGCTACGTTCCTCTATTGAAACTATTAATTTATTGTTATGTCAAAAAAGTTCACTTTGTGATCACTTTTTGAATAATATCATCATATTCCGTAACATCAGACAAAACGCCATAAGAACTTCTCACGATACTTTGACCGGTTCAATAAGAAAATATTAAACAGAATCGGTCGAACTAATTCTCAATTTTGACCTGGCTGATAACCTCTTAACATCCAACTGGGTACATTTCAATTGGATATAAATCGACAGGAGAGTAGTTGAGAAGAAAACATGTTATTATTTTATCGAAATTCTGGATATATATTATATCATTCGTGACTTTGTTCAATGGATTTTAATCGAAGAAATGATGATATATCTGTTAGGGCCTGTTTTTATTGTATGACGTGTCGTTTGTCGATAATCTGAACTGATAGGTAGGTACCAACTGATAAAATTAGAGCAGGAGCAGTTGCATGTACTCATATGGTGATTCATCAAATCAGTTACCTATGGCATTACGCGTGAGTTGAGCTTCATTTTTTGTTTTTGGTACACTTTTGCAAGTAATACAAGGATGTATTTGCTATTTGGTCAATATTCTCGATCTCTATTTCCATTATCATAATATACCATCTTGAATAATTTCAATACATAAGAAACGTTGCTGCCAAATTTCAGCCAATTACGACGAATCATTTCTGGAATATCGGCCATCGAAGTTATATGACAAATTTTTTTTGGCTATGAGAGTTTCCTCATGAATCACTATGATTTTCTGAGCGAGTGGAAGGACAAACAGTTTAACAAAAATTTTATTAAAAAACAATTATCAATGTCAGGAGAAATGTAGAAAATGCCTGTTCCTCTCGAGATAAAACCTTTCATTCTTCTTCGTACACAACTTCGGCACGTTCTAAGATTCCACGAATGTTTTTTATTAATTGAAAAGCATAAATGATACGTTGACAGATGACCTCAATGAAAGGCACAGGCCCAGCATCGTAAACAGCGCTTTTCACATAGAGAGAAGTGCACAAAATAGGGCCAGGATTGTAACTCTCGAATTATTCTAGATGGAGTTTTGAAAATTGGTGGGTAGCAGGTATACCAAATCAATCATTAATTGATTGAACAATTTTTCTTTTATCACTTCCAGTTTCACCGGAAACGACCCCAACTTTTGACTTTCAAATGGAACACCCTGTATTGTGTTCCATAATCGGATAGGGATTATCATGACGAATTCAAGGATACCGGGTTTGATAGGGGTATTTCAAACAATCACACACAATAACCGATGACAGTGCTTATGTCAACAGATTATAATTCTTAGAGTTCAGTTCGTTATAGTTTCAGTTATTATTTTATAGGGAGATGAAAATTGTGTATATCATGAAGAATGGCTAAAAGAATAACTGGACATCAGGTTACTGATGAGGATATGATATCCGAAATTAGTTTTACTCGAGTTAAGTCATATAACCTGTTTGTGAGAGATATATTTTCCATATCACTGATACGAAAGATTTTTTTGAAAGTTCCATAATCTCATCAAGATCAGTGTTCATACAAGTATACTTCTCCTATACATTTCAATTTTCATTTCAATACTGGACATAGGGGTAAGTTATATTTTTATATCATAATATTATTCTATTCGATTTGAGAGATAATGTCAATTCTCAATCCCAGAGGATTTTGATTATTCATGCTCTCTTTTCGGATATTCAACACATATAATTCAATGTTCGTCGTGGCAAATAGCCAGGAAAGTAGTTGTTTTCTGTTCATTATTCAGAATGATATTATATACATATCTTCATATGAATGAGAATGCAAATTCTCTACTTCAGAAGAATTTGATTTCAAATTCATATCGTGTGTGTTCAATAGATGTAATTCAATATTCGTCGTGGCATAAAGTAGTTGTTTTCTGTTGAATAAACCGAGAAAGAATCAATATTTTCATCACATGGAGAATGTGAATTCTCAATGTATTTCTTTATTTATATATACCTATCCATTTTTTTGTGTTCATAAATACAGGGTGTCCCAAAATAAGCCTGCCAAACTTCACCAGCGGCTTTTACGTTCAAAAATAGGAAGAAAAGTTCCGATGAACATGAGACGAGAAATTTCTCCTAAGGGAGCTACGGCCCCCTGAGAGGGGCTCCTGCAAATGATTTTTTTTTTGTATTTCCAAAACTCCATGTGATAAAAAGATGCGATTCGGTACAAGAGCTAACAAACTTTCCATGCCCAATGCTGTGAAAATGAAATCATTTCAAAACTCCACTCAGAAGTGTATAACTATATTGAATATTGCTCAAAATAATTCGGACGCATATTCTTAGACAATTTAATCTCGGATTATGATAATCCACACCTCTTCACAGAAAAAGGTACTCTTGTTCCGTAACGATGAGATGTATCATTATCGACTAAGAGCGATTTAAAAATATTGTGACATCTCAGATATTATGCATAACATTGCAATATGAGTTGTAGTGGAAATGAAAAAAAATGCACAGAAATTGAGTATTTTTTGATCATCATTTTTCTATTTTTCGCGCTTTCATGAGATTGTTTTGTGAGAAGAAAATAGATCATTTTTTTAATAGCCACTATGATTTGAAAATTGGTAACTTTATGCATAAGATGTGAGTGTATCAATATTTTTAAATCGATTTCAGTCGAAAATGATACATCTGATCGATGCGGAACACAAGCACCTTTTTTCGTAAAATGGAGTGGATTTTCATATCCCGAGATCAAATTTCCAAAAAATATGCACACAAAAAAGTTTGAGCAATATTTAATGTAGTCCCACCCTGTATTATACCCGCCTGAATATAACTTCGGAATAATTTTATGTTCACAGCATTGGGCATAAAAAGTTCAGTTCTCGTACCAAATAGCATCATTTTATCACGTGGCGTTTCGGAAATATTCAACAAATATCATCTTCAGGAGCCCCCTTTCAAGGGGTCGTAGCTCCCTTAGCAGACATTCATCGACTCATGCTCATTGGAACTGTTCTTCGTATTTTTGATCGTAGACGCCGCCGGTGAAGTTTGGCAGCCTGATTTCGGGACACCCTGTATATCTGAGAATATTCCTTTTCGATAAAATCATTTCTGACACAGCCAGATAATGAATCTTGTAATTTGTAACTTGAACCATTCTTTTGATTTCTGTTCTGAAAGTTCCACGGACAAAAATAAAAAATCAAATAACTTCTGATGAGCCATGCATCAATAATCAGATAAATGATTATTCCGATAAGGAATGACATCGCCAATCACCTCACTTTGTTTATCCGTGTCATGCACGAGACATATTTTATATAATAATCATAGGGAAAAAGTGTACTGGAAGTTATTATTTTATGATATTATACCTTCTCTTGATATTCCCATTTTTGTCTGTTGAATCCACTGCATGCATTTATTCGAACCTTCATCGGTCCCAACCCTACTTTCTCAGGAGCATCTAGACACACCGAGTCATCAGTCATGATGAATCCGTCTTTAGTCATAACGAACATTTCGATCTCTGTATCATCCCCTAAACACCTGAAATTTGTAATAATTTCGATCATAAAATAGAACTGTCAAAATACACGAGTGTTACTGTTTTTCAATGGAGCAAGTTGATATCGAGCTTATCTTGGTGACCATACGATATTGGTTAATTAAGCAGTCCCGAAAGTGCGAGATTTGGTATAAGAAATATATACTCTCATCTGTTATTTACTGATGATGAGCTGGGCAACCTATTTGCAAGGAATCAATATATTGTAATGATATTTCTCTTAGGGGGACTCTAGAAACATCATCAGGAAGACAGGAGTACAACGAGCATCCTGTAACACGCATCCCAGATTGTTCCTCAACATCCCAATGATTCCTACATGCACCAGCATATTTCCGAACATTGAATATATGCCGCGGTGACAAATAACGTGACAGAAGATTCGGGAATCGTCTGGAAACAATCGATGGAACAATTTGAGAGAGAGGTATTGTTCTAAGAAGCTCCTAGAACAAAAAGAAGGGAATGGAAGATCATTCGATCGTATACTAATTAAAAATGATTTAAAAATATTGCCGTTGACAAACTTCTGTTCTAGAGATGTAACGGCCATGTAGGGAATAAACCAACCTTCATCACAAGAAATAGGAAGGAGGTACTTGATGTAACAATAGCCTCTACATATGTGAGTAATCTTGTTACAGAATGGCATGTGTCAGATGAAGAAAGTTGCTCGGATCACAGACACATACATTTCAAAGTAAAGAGCAACATAATTCAAGAAACTTATCGGAACCCAAGGAAAACGAAATGGGGAGCCTATCAAGCAGACCTATCCCGTAGTCTCTTGGCAACACAGAGGAAGATAAGTACGAACGAGGACCTTGAGGGGGCTGTGTAGCAATTCAATGACATAGTCACCTCAGCGTTCAATAACAACTGTCCCCTTATCACAAGGAAGGCTGCCAGGAATGTGCCCTGGTGGAGCTACGAACTTGCAAGATTAAGGAAACAAGTGAGAAAGAAATTCAATAGTGCAAAAAAATCAGGAAGGTGGGATGAATACAAGACCGCCTTGACCGGATACAAAAAAGCGATCAGCAAATCTAAAAGAGACTCCTGGAGGAAGTACTGTGAGGAGATAGAAAGCACTCAGGAATGCGCTAGACTCCAAAGGATACTCTCCAAAGATTCGAAATGTACAATATACTCTCTTAAGAACGAACAAGGAGAGTACACAAATACAGGAAAGAAAACAATAAAAGAACTCTTCAGAGTTCACTTTCCTGGATCTCAAATAGTTCGGACACCTGCTATGGGAAACGAAAACGGACTGGGGGCTCTATTGAGAGGATCCAGGGAAAGTTGGAACATAGCTAAAGAAGTGGTGACCTATGATAAAGTCGAATGGGCAGTTAACTCATTCGAACCCTTTAAATCACCAGGACCAGACGGGATCTACCCAGCACTGCTGCAAAAGGGAACAGAACCACTGATAAGGTGGCTCTGCAATATACTAAGAGGAAGTTTAGCTCTTGGATACATACCAAGAATTTGGAGGAAAGTGAGGGTCACCTTCATACCGAAACCTGGAAGAACTGGACAGGAAACGGCGAAGTCCCTCAGACCAATTAGTCTCATGTCATTCACACTGAAGACTTTAGAGAAGCTGGTAGACAGGCACATGAGGGACGGCGCGCTGGTAGAAATCCCACTGCACCGAGACCAATATGCCTACAGGACCGGTTGTTCGACAGAAACGGCACTCCATAAACTTGTTGAAAGGGTGGAAAACACGCTGGAAAATAAAGAGGTATTATTAGCGGCCTTCTTAGACATAGAAGGAGCCTTTGACAATACCTCAATAAACTCTATAATTAGAGCTCTCAGACAGAGAGGAATCGAGGAACCCTGTGTGGCCTGGATAGACTCAATGTTGAGAAACAGAACGATTTACACCACTGTGATGGGAGAGACCGTAGAGGCCAGGGCGACCAGAGGATGCCCGCAGGGAGGAGTACTCTCCCCACTTCTGTGGAATCTGATTATGGACGGGCTACTGCGAGTACTCAATCATAGAGTGCTTGGATACGCAGACGACATAGTAGTCTTGGCACAAGGAAAGTATAATACCACAGTCAGAGATCGTATGATGGAGGCTCTAGAACTGGTAACTGAATGGACGGATCAAGAAGGGCTGAATATCAGTCCTCACAAGGCCACCATGATAGCATTCACACGAAGACATAAACTAGAGGGATTAGGTCCTCTTAAACTTCGAGGCGAAACAATCCAGTTGAAAGAGGAGGTCAAATACCTCGGGGTGATATTAGATCCGAAACTGACTTGGAACCAACAACTGGAAAAGACAACCAAAAAAGCGGTAACGTCACTGATGATGACCAGACGCTCTTGTGGGAAGAAATGGGGACTGAGACCAAACATGCTGTACTGGTTGTACAACAGGGTGGTGATGCCTTCCATAACATATGCCTCTCTGGTATGGTGGAAGAAGACACTACAAAGAGGAGCTATAACAAGACTGAGCAAGATACAAAGACTTGCATGTCTAGGAATCACGGGGGCTATGAAGTCAACGCCAACCGCAGCCATGGAAACACTACTGGATCTGCCTCCCCTCCATTTGATGGTACAGGGGGAGGCGAGACTTGGTGCCCTAGGACTGCAAAATACACTGGGCAATGTTAACATAGGAACAGGACATATGAGCATCGTCAGAATAGTGAACAGGGACATACTTAATATGAGAACAGATCACATTTCGAAACGATATATATTTGACACTTCATTCAGAGTGTCCATACCAGACAGATCTGAATGGAAGGACGGAGAACTCAGCACCATACTGCAGGGAAAGATCTGGTATACAGACGGGTCCAAGACTGCGAATGGGTCAGGAGCAGGAGTATACTCCAAACATCCGGAAACTAGCCTCAGCTACTCATTGGGGAAGTACGCTTCAGTTTTCCAAGCAGAGGTGTACGCAATTCTCCAATGTGCGGAAGAAAATAACAGGAGAGCTGTGGAAAAGGAGCAGATCCGTATTATGTCAGACAGTCAAGCGGCACTTAAGGCAATAGAAAGCCAGGAAGTGACATCTCGACTGGTATGGGATTGCAAGAGGGAACTGAGAACTTTGGCAGACCGGAACTGCGTCAAGCTAATCTGGGTGCCAGGTCATCAGGGGATCGCTGGCAATGAGAAGGCTGACGAACTCGCAAGAAGAGGGTCGGACAACGAGCCAGATCCAGGACAGACTCTTGGAGTACCAAAACGTACAGCACGAGGGTCAGTTAAAGACTGGATTCAGGCAAAACACAAGAGCTACTGGGAAAACATCCCAAGAAACAGACATGGGAAACAATACATTAAGGAACCAAGTCATAAACGAACTGTAGACCTGCTCAACTTGAACAGAGCACAGATAAAAACTGTTACGGGACTCATGACTGGCCACGCGCCAGTAAAGGAGCATCTCACCAGAATGGGACTGTACAATGGCGACCCAAGCTGCAGATTATGTGGCAAGGAACCAGAAACAGTAGCACATATACTGTGCCGATGTGAGGCATTGGACCGCAGAAGACAGAAGATCTTTGGGCAACCAGTTGGCGAACCAGAAATATTCAACTCACATCCAGTGAAGGATTTGTACAGACTTGTTCAAGGTACAGAGATAATGGAGTGGGCACAATAAAGAACATTAGGTAAGATACAATGGGCCACCATAGGCCTAAGTGTCGTCGGAGACATGGTCAGACGAGCCAACAAACGGGGTGGAGTTTTTAGTGGGTAAACCCTGGCTAGAGTCAGGGGAGTCCCACACTACCATATGGGGGATAGGACCCATATGGTGTCCATATAGGATTTCAACCACCTCAACAAAAAAAAAAAAAAAAAAAAAAAAAGATCATTCGAGGACGTTCGAGAAGCAAAGCCTACGAAAGGGATCTCATATATAAGGACGGCCGAACAACTGCAGTCAGTCAGTGAAGCAGCGGGTGTCAGAGAGACAGTCATATACCGCGTGATATGAATCGTTTTACATAAATAGTAGTTATAAGTTCCATACAAATCAGTGTTTCTTCAGTTAAAATAAATCAGTTCGGAAATAAATGTTTTCGTGTTCGCTTCTGCACCCGAATAACGTAATAATAATAATAATAATAATAATAATAATAATAATAATAATAATAATAATAATAATAATAATAATAATAATATATTTACCAATAAAATGATATAAAATATGAGACAATATCAGTACAGCAGGCAAATACAGGTAACCCACAAAGGGATGAATCCCTGTGCGTGGGTATATATCTTAAATATACACATTATTATATTATACATCCATAAGTACACACACGTATACAAATATATACATTCATTCACACATATACATTATAAATATATAAACAAATTTGAAAAATAATTTGAACATAACATACAGGTATAAGCGAGCAGAGGCAGCATTATGTCATATCAATATCAACTATCAGAAAAATCAAGTGTTATTATATTTTTATATATTTTTTTATAAGTGAATTCATAAGTAATAGGTATTTTTCCTATCAATTAAGCTGTGAATTTCTTTTCTAGGGACAGACTGAAGCCAGAGAGTAATTTTTTTTTTTAATAGACCGTACGCATTTATTCGTGTCAGTTCGGTAGGAATTTTGGCATAAAGAATGGGACCAAGGTAATTATAGCATCTTTGGGTGAGAGTTTTTTCAACTTTCGGTATAGCCGTTGTTTTGGTTTTGTGTCTTGTATTATAACCATGTTCTATTTGCCTGAATGTATTTCTAAACCTATAATGGTTTAGTATTATACGATGATAATATAATTGTCTTGCATCGAACACTCTAGTTTCCTTATATAGTACCTCAGTTGAGTATGTGAAACTTTTATTGAAAATAATCTTCAGAATCCACTTTTGTGTTATCTCTAGTTTTTTCAAGTGATTGTTGGTCACCCCTCCCCAGGCTAACAATATGTATCATCTAACATTCATGAT